AGAATGCGTGGATTAATTCCAAGGGCGGGAGTGGAATTCTCCATTTATTCTCTGAAATGGGGGAGGGGAGGTGGAGGAGGGGGGGGGGGGGGCGCGGTTGGAGGTCTTTATCTGGAGAAGCCCTGCCAGAATCCTCCAAGATCCTGTGCTTTTCCAAGAGCATTTGGGCGCCCCGCCCTGCATCTCTCTGACCCGATCCTTCCCTCTGAGTCACTCCTGGCCAGCTGAGGTGAGGGCAGCTGACCAGCGCCCCCTGGAGATGGTGCCTGAGGCCATCCCGCGAGCCTCTCACCTTATCAGCCCAAAAAGCGTCCTTCTCCTGGAAAATAGAGAGTGACTAATGCAAAGCGATTATGTAAATCCTCTGTGAGCGACAAGCCGCTAATTATCCACGAAGGTGCTTTATCATAGGTGAAGCTTGGATTGTTTAATAAAGAGGATTTTTTTTCAGACAAACACTGTAGGCATGACAGCAATGAGAGCGGCAGTTATGGTGACACCTGCTCAGATGCTGCGTCGCGGCTTCGGCGCTGGTTTGCCGATCTTTCGGCATGTTTTTTTGTCGGAAGCAGTACAGCTGCGTTACGAGGCCGTGGTGCGACATTCCCTTACCGTTCCACCACCACGGGTAAAGTTTGCCATTTGTTATTGGTAAATCCGCCCGGCTGTAAGGAAGAGGGGGGGCTATTTCTCTGCTCTGGGACACATGCCGGGGACCCTCCACATGCTCGTTTATGAAGACGAGGCCCCCACCTGCCGCAATTTCTTTTTTACAGATGAGGACCAAGATCGTGTCCTTGTCCCCGCATGCAGACCCAGTGTCCAGGCTAGATCTGGGGTCAGAGGTCGCTGAGATGACTTTGACACATCAGCCTTATTGCTTGGGGTTAAGCAGTCTCTCTGGTGAAATTTCCTACTGGTGTGATGGGGCGCCCCCTACAGGCTGATCAAAAACCCTGACTTTGGTATTTTCAGTCACAAATGCTAATATCCTCATCCGCAGTAAATCAAACCGGCTTTGGGCTGGTATCGTTAATCCCTTTCTAAGGCTTTTCTTTTTAATTTCTGAAGCTAAGCCTGTCACTTGATTTTCCCAACCCTTCTGTATGGATACACTTCAAGACTGAAGTGAAAGTTCAAACTCGATTTGATTGAGAATCCATGTATCTGCTTTCCTCATGTTTCTCGATATCCTGAAATCTTTGCCAGCTGAAAGACGTTGATACCCTTCCGGCTGTCTTCGTATAGCTTTCACGTCCATGCAGAGTCACGGGAAATTCCGTAACCCTGAGAGATTCTGTCCTTTGGAGCTTGCCCAGATTAATTAGCGCGGCCCTCATTTTCTGTTTATTTCAAATAAATGCAGAAACGAACGTTGAACGGGTAAGCACAGGCCTCGTAAAGTTCAGACAGCATCACGTAATCGGTGGGCCCTTTTTCATCTTCGCATAGACGACGTCTGAGTCAAACTCTAAAAGGAGTACTCCTCAGACACGCCGCCGAGTAATTGATCATTGTGGTTTTCATTTCTGCTGCCTCGTCTTCTTCCCGCGGCTAAGAATGTGATGATATTAGCAGTTCCTATGAAGCCTGACAACCACCTCTCTGCTTGGGGCACGGGGGGCCCCCGCAGGGGGAGGCGGGGCCCCAAGGGGGATTGCGGCTTGCCCTTCTCAGGGCCACGACTCTCCGGTCAAGACCCACACTGGGGAAGACCCTTTGGAATCATCTTTGCTGTGGCCGGGGAGCTAATTTGTTGGTTTTCCAGGGCAGGTTGGGAGGTTGTGGTGCCAATGGTGAAAAAGATATTTCCTCTGGTGGAGCAGCCGCTCCCGGGCGTGTACATCTTAGTACTTAACCGACATCGAGCTAATTACGACTGTCAGGGTGAGTTTGAAGAAACGCAGGGCCTTGATTTCTGTGCCATGCGAGGGTCCAGCCAATGTACGAGTTGACAAATCGCGAGTCCCGTGTGTGTTTGACAGCAGAAAAGGATGAACTCCTGCAGTTACATGATTTTAATATCAGTGTTTGCCTGGGGTGGGACTTCCATTCGAGGATAGAAGCCCAGCATTTGATTTGACGTGCAGACAGTGACAGGTCGCTTGTGGAGTTTTACTTGCACAAAAATGTTCTGAGGGTCCGAACAACTAAAGGAGGTGGGACCAAGACATCTGATTGGTTGGCCCTGCCTCTTTGAGTTGTTTGGGCCCACCTTCTCTACAATCTGATTGGTTATCTCTCTGAAACAATAATTTATCCTTCTGTCCTCAGAACTTTTTGTGTAAGTAAAACTCCCACGAGCCAATGGGTCTCTGGAACCTGATCGATAAACCTTTCATGTGCCGTGTCAGACCGCATTTGTTAGTTGTTTTGTCGAACGCCATCAGCTTCCTTGAAGGTTAGGAATTGAGGTGAGGATTTACCATGTGGATTAACCCTCCTGCAGCGCTGCTCTGTCTTTGTCCTTGTCTCTCCCCCATACACCCTCGGGGGCTCCTAAAAATACCGACACCCACACCCCGAGCCAGCCCTGGCAGCCTGGGTGATGCGGCATCCTGCTCCATGGCCTCTAATTGTGGCTGGGGGGTGGGGGGTAGGCAGCTGCGTTTAGGGACGGAAAGAGTGAGCCCTGGACCACGGGGCCTGCCCAGCAGAGAGCCAAGTCACGCGCCTGGCCACGGCAAGTGCCGTGATTCTGTGAGTACTGAGCCTTGCACAGCTACGGTCGCAATACGGGCTGCGGCGTGGCAGTGAGGACCACAGCCTCACCCCCCCTCTCCAGCCAGCCCACAGAGTGAGCCGTATTTATATCAGATCGTCTGCTCTCTCTCTGGTTCTCACGTGTGATGTGATAGACGATGTCTTACAGGCCAAATTCGCCAGTCACACTGTTAATCCTATAGGGCGCGACCTGATCTCCATTGGTCTGTGTGGTTCTGCTCAGTCAGTTGTTGCTGGTTTATTGGAAATGGGGGCGGGGTCTCTCAGTGGTGGGGGGGTATGGTCAGCCGCAGAGTAGAACTTGGACTCGATCCCCAATGGTTCAGCCTCATAACCAGTCAGTACGTCTGAGGGCATGGGGCGGGGTCGCCGAGTCTCCTGTCTCTAAGGAGTCTCCTGCTCTTCACAGAGACCTCCAGGCCAGCTTCTGACCTGCCCCCCCCCCCCTTACAGGACCGTGGTGATGCCCATTGCCAACGAGTTCGCCCCGGACGTGGTGCTGGTTTCCTCGGGTTTCGACGCTGTGGAGGGCCACCCATCCCCCCTGGGAGGATACAGACTGACGGCCAAATGTAAGTGTCGTCCCCCCCACCCCACTGCCTTAGCCTGCCTGAGAGAGGGAGGAGGTGCCCAGGGGTGCTGTATCATGACTCGGCCCTGCGGTCAGAGGGATTATGGGATGTGCATGTCCCTCGTAGGTCAGCTGTCTTCTCAATCGCATGTGTCATTTCTCATCGCCCCATAAATCACAGCCCCCACTCCTTTCTGGAAGGGGGGGGGGGATTTCTCTGCAGGAATGTCTGATGTTAAGTGGCTCATTACAGATGCCGGGGCCCTTGTACCCCCCCATTCCCCTGGCCCTCATTTTATTAATACATTTACCCTGTATTAAACATCAAAAGGCGAGCCGAACCCGGAGTCCTGGGCTGCCCGTGTTGACATTAAACCCGGGTTGAAGTTACACGTTCAGGCACAGTCA